TCCTCTTGGAGAAGTTGGAGGTTTGACCTGGAAGAGAGTATTAACCTCGATGTGAACAAAGGAAGGATGCTAAACACGAGTTAGACCAAAAACAATATAAATATCTCTTTATTTAGCAAGCAGAGCTGAAAATGCTCTAAAAATAAAAATACAAAAGTATTTTGTACAAATATAAATAATTTATGCAGATTTATTATTAATGAGTGCAGGCAAGTCTTTATATACAGTAGTTTAGGTTTTTCTGAACTTATGTTTACGTTGTAATTTTTATGCAGTATTATTTAGTGTCATTCACTCGCTCATTTTTTTAATGGACACAAACTTCTATCAACTAATATCATTCTCAGCCTCTACAGCTTTGCATTGACCTGTTCATATGCAGCTTGTGTTTAAGGTACAACCATGTGAGCAGGAAACCATCTATTCCTTAGTAGGTTTTAAAGTTATTTAATTACAACCGTAGATGAACAACAACACATGACATATTATTTATTTAACAAAGCTGTCACACGAAGCAGCAGTGTGTGGTTTGGGATCATTTGGGCTGTAAAGTGGATCGGGGGGCGCTGATGCACTTTACTTTTGCTTCCTTTGGTGCAAATGAAAGTGACACGAGGTTCACTGGAGAGGGAACAGGAAAATAGGAAAAGGGGAAAAAAGAGACTGGTTTTGCAGATAGTAACCAAAAACCATTGCTCTGTCCTTACATCTGATCTTTTTCTCCAGTTCAACTTTTAGTTTATGTCCTTGTCACTGCTGGTAGCATGAGATGGTGCTTCCAACACATTCAGGTTGGAGAGGTAGATCAGCTTTTCCAGAATGGCATATCGATGCAAGCTGACCTCTAGGTGCTCTCTATGCCCTTTGGTGTTTCTGAAACGCTTCACAAGCAGAGACTAATGAGGTGGGTTTTGCTTGCTCAAGAATACAATTTGGACATTTACGAGTAAAGGTGTGTCTTTACAATGGTAACTAGTGATCCACAGTGGAAGCAGGTGCAGGAAGCAAGTGGGTTGTAACAATAAGGACGCCTGATCAGGACGCTGGAGTGTAGCGAGTATAACAGGAGGAACACTGACAGAGGCCTAAGGAATGGCCTCCGGGGTGCTCATTTGCATGTTTCTGGCCGCACACTATGAGAAACAGACTCCATCTGCTGGAATAAGGGTCTGACATCTTTAGTGGGACCTGTGCTCACAGTCCCACGTCATGCATCACCAGAGTCTATCAGGTTCATACAGATGGATGTGAAAGAGTCTTGAGATGCAGTGTAGGCATTTTTCTGACTGCAGCATCATCCAGCATGATGGTTTGGCAGTGGTCAGTGATGGTCTGGGAGGCATATCCTTGGAGGATCATACAGATGACCTCCTCAGAACCATTGTTGATACGGGCATTGATACCAATGACTGTCTCTGACATTTTCCAGAGCTGAATCCAACTAAGAACTTCTGGGACACATTTTTTTACTCGCATGCCTGCAAAGTCTCCACCAAGCCTCTCTCATCTTCTCTGAATTGCTGCCACCTGTCCACATGCCCTGTCTTTTGATTATACCTCTTTTAATAAAGCATCTAAACTATTTGTTGTCTGCTTTGCATTCATACTGAAAAGATGACAAGAGCATTATGTCAGTAAAGATTTAAATTTGAATATTTCAGTCATCAAGATCAAATGTGTGCATTTCCTTGACTTCTTGAGATTTTTTTTCAGCATTGAAAATACTTTTACTTTCATACTGTTTAATCTTTCTTCATTTTTAGTTAAATTATAATTATCAGTGTAGAATATGCACATCTAAAAGGTAACTTTTAACTTGGCTTGAGTATGTTGGTGCAGCGTGTCGCTATCTGAATACAAAGCACCATGTTGTTTATGACTGGCTGCATCACTTGTGCATCTTTGTGGCCACAGTTTCATGGATAAGTACAATTTTATGCTCCTGTAAATGATGAGCTCTTTGCTTTGCTGGCTCTTGATGAGTGTGCAAAGTAATTCAGTTATTATTACCACCAATATAGTTTTTAAATTAGATTTCATCATTAACTGAGTTGTAATAAAACTGTCTACAGAGTTGATGTGGAGAATAATGTTTAACACAAGCATGTTGTAACGTCCCTCTGTTAAAATAAAATAAAAAAATCACACTAGCAGTTTGCAGTCCCACACTAACCCACACACAAAGGTTTCTAAACTCCACCTTGATTACACATTACTGGAAGGGCAGTTAATCTCTAACTTTTTGGTTATCTTTTAACCAGGCAATAAAGACTTGCATTGTACTGACACTTTGACACTTAGCATTGTTTTATTTACAGTTTTGTTTTTTTTTTTGCAAAGTATGATTAAACTCTAATAAACAGACAAAGAGACAGTGGCGCTCTGTAGACCTGAAACTTGACTTTTGCACTTCTCAAGTAAGTGTTGATGATTTAATATCTTACTATGCCTTTATAAAGAAACATTTATTTTAGAACGCACTGTTAACATCATGTTTGTATTTTCTATTAAAAGCTTTCATGTTAAACTTTACTTTGAAATCCTGTTTGAATTGCACTTTTTTCAAATAAAATAATACATTTTATTTGAAAGCGCCTTTCAAAACACTCAAGGACACTGTACACAGCAGAATAATAAAAGCAACATAAAAGCAATCAGTTTACACAATCATAAAGGCATAAGACATAAAACAAATGTAAAATACCAGAGTGGAGAGGATATTTGGGATAAGCTATTTTGTACTATTGATGTTTGAGTTAAGACTTAAAGAGAGAGAAGGAAGTTATATTTCTTAAATCAGGAGGTCGGGAACTCCAAAGTCAAGGAGCAGAGCAGCTGAATGCCCAGCTCCCCATGGCAACAAGATGGGGGGAGGAGACAGAGAGAGAAAGAGAAGAAAATATCTGAGACTGAGATGGGATGGTGATCTGAACCAGATCAGACAGATGTGGCGGGGAGAGAACATGAATTACCTTAAATGTGTACAAGAGTGTTTTAAAAATGATGCGATATTTGACTGGAAGCCTATGAAGTTGCTGCAGGACAGGAGTGATGTGATGGACAGAAGGGGTCCTGGTGATAATACGAGCAGCAGAGTTCTGGACATATTGGAGCTTTTGGATGGATTTCTGAGTAAGACCAAAAAGAAGAGAGTTGCAGTAAACAAACCCGTCGAAGTAACAAGAATGGCAGCGGCATGTGGGGTGAGAAAAGGACGGAGACGATTAATGTTGGCAACTGAAAGTATGCAGACCGAGTAACACTGTTAATGTGTGAATTGAAAGATAAAGTACTGTCGAGGATGACACCCAAACTTTTCACAGAGGAAGAAACGAAGACCGGCGAGTTTTTGATAGTAACAGAGAAACTGTTGGTTCTGAATAATGTTGATTTAGAGTCGACCAAGAGGAGCTCGGATTTGTTACTGTTGAGTTTGAGAAAATTAGAAGAGAACCATGAATTTAGTTCGGCTAAGCAGAGGGTGAGGAAGGATGGGGGAGAGCAGAGTCAGGTTTAGTGGACAGATAAAGCTGGGTGTCATCAGCATAACAGTGAAAATGGATATTATATTTATGAAAAATGTGTCCAAGCGGAAGAAGGTAGATAATGAAAAGAAGGGGCCCCAGGACAGATCCATGGGGCACGCCAGTGACCAGAGGAAAGGACTGAGAAGTGAGGGATTTGAGTCGAACAAACTGAGTGTGATCAGACAGGTATGATTTAAAGCAAGCTAGTGTGAGTATGGGAGAGACCGATGGAGGCTAGCCTACTGAGGAGAACAGAGTGAGAAATGGTGTCGACAGCAGAACTCAGATCGAGGAGAATAAGAATAGAAAGTAAACCGGAGTCAGCTGCCATAAGAAGGTTAATGTGGATAGTGAGTTTAACTATACACAAATCAGTTACTTGTCTTTACAGTTTATTTTGTTCCTAATTTTGCTGCTTTTTTAAAAATTGTTTTTCTTACCTCTCAGATGCAGACTATAAAGCTCGTGGTGGTGGGTGATGGTGATTCAGGAAAGCATGAATTCCTCTTGACCTATACAGGCACAGCCTACAAGTAAGAATACATACCCACAGTGAGTAGGTTTAAATACCACAGATAAAATAAAAAATAAAAAAACCTTTTTCTCTGCAGGAAACTCGTGGCATGAAAGTCTGCAGACATAAACCAGACAGATTTCAGGTTGCTCTGAACTGCTCTTTTGTGTCACACAGGTTGTGATACTTACAGACCAGTGACTGAACTCTACAGGACACTAAAGACAGACAGTACAAACGCACATACATGCAAAACCAATCGAAGTGGTTTGTGTATTGTGTTCTCACACAATACAGTCTGGACCAATTTCTGTTCTGGTGTGTTTGGAGTTTGAAAGTAAGTATTCAAGTAAGCGCAGCAGCTGTAAAACACTCCCTGCATCCGCTCACGTCCAGAGCCGAGGTTACCAGGAATGTTGGGATAAGCTGCTTGTTAACATACCTGGCAGAAGCCTGAACGTGAGTAAAGGGGAGTAAAGCAAGACATGGCACATCTGCTTACCTGAACAGCTGCAAACTAATATTCATGAAAGTGCTCAGCTCATTTCATAAATCAGTTTGACTCTGTTTAGTCATGCTGTAACGATTCTGCTGCATTTGCATGTTTACTTATCTTTGTTTATGGCTTGTTTAACTTTTGTTCCCTGTTTTCTCCAGGTGTTTGACAGGTATGCTGTGACAGTGATTGTTGGTGGAGAGGCGTACACTCTGGGAATGTTTGACAAGGTAAAATTAGGTAAAAAATACATCTAAGCTCAGTTTATTAAATTAAAAAATTTTACTGTACAATGTGTGTGAAGGTTCTCACTCATCCAGGTCATCGTTGTCTCAGGGGCTTAGAAAGAAAAGCGTCTGGACTTCTGTAGGTTTCTTGTAAATATGTCACCTCTCATCAGAGAATCTTAATCAGTTCTAAGAGCAATTAGTGGAGAGTCCCAGATTTCAAGCCTTATGGGAGTTTCCCCAACAGGATCATGGACCTAGAGGATCCTATTGATCCTCTACCTACTCCAACTTTTAAACTTAAACAATATTGTCTCAGTGTTTAACCCATGAAATCTCAATTTTTTGACTTGATTTCCACAGAGCCCTATTCTCATCAGCACCTTTGATGAAGTCATTGGTGTGGAAAAATCCTGTATCAGTCAAACCTTTGATGACAGACACTGAGGAACACCAGTCAGTCAAAGCAGCCATTGACCCAATTTGAATCACTGTCATCTTTCCAGAACGTCACAGAGGTTTGTTTAGCTGGTATCTGTGTTTGTTTCTAATTTGATGGAGATACTGACTTAATTTAATGAGGTGATTCTCTTCACAGGCTGCCCTTTAAATTCAAACTCTCAAAGACTGTCAGTTAAAGGAAACCTCAGTATGCCTGTTAAAAACATTAATTTATAAAAAAAACAACAACACAACAAAAAAAAAAGTTTAAAAATTCCTTATCAGAACATACATCAACATTGACTACTACTAAAACTTTAAATAACTATCAAAATAATTCATTTATATATTTTTCTACAGATCAATTGAAAGTTGATTATCTATAAAATGACAATATTTATACACATCTTACTATTTGCTTAAACTGTCATACCATACCATTGTAATCACAGATGAAACCGAGGAGAAGAAAACAAAAACACTCACCTGTCAGCAACGTTGTTGCTGCATTATTTGCTTCTCATTGTTCTCTGATTGTTAAAAATCAGTGTTTTTAGATACTTCTTTTAAATCTGAGAAGCAACCGACCGCAGTTGTAAAGACCAGATGTTAATCATTTATGTGAATTCACCAAAACAAAATCACATCTTCTTCCAAAAGACCTTGAAAAATGTGCTCATGCCTTCATGCCTAGTTTGGACCACTGTAATCCTCTGTGTTTAGGTCTGAAACACTCTTAATCGTTTGCAGTTAGTCCAAAATGCCGCTGCATGATCACATCACTCCACTTTTAGCAGGTTTTCACAGGCTTCCTGTCCATTTTTCTACTGGTTTTAAGATTTTCCTTACTTTTAAAGTTTTAAATGGTGTCGTACCCAGCTATTTAACCAACCTGCTCAACTTATTTAACCCCAAAAGAGCCCTAAGATCTTCTAGTCAGATGCTCATAGTGCAGCAGAGATCTCGATTTGGATCGGGAGTTTGCAGTCATAGTTTTAAGACTCTGGAATAAACTGTGTGGAAATAACAGAAAATATGTTGTTGCTAAACATGGCTTTCATTACTGGCATTTTATTAAAACTTTTATTAAAGGTGTAGTTGTAGTTATTTTTATGTACACATTGCAAATGTGCTCATGAAGAGTTGACGCTCAGTCCATTTAAGGTCATAAGCTTTGTCTGGCGTGATGGTCCCAACGATTTATTGTGTAAGTAACTTCGAGTGTAGAAGGTTAATGCATACATGCTTACAAACACAGTTAATTACAGAAGAAAGTCTGGGCCAGAGGCCAGGAAGACATTTTGCTGGTAACTGCATTTGTGCCTGCATAAGCAACAGTTGATGAAAACTGGACAAGTCAACAGGAAACATCTGAAGGGTGAGACAGTTGAAAGAAACAGCCATGTACGGTAAAATGTTGCTGATAATGGAAATTTGTCTAACTGTCATTAACTGCAACTTATGCATGTTATATTCTTTGCTGACGCAGAAGGGGCTGAACCCTGACATATTAAAACCATTTTGAAGTGTGCTTTTTAGCGGAGATCTATGTTGACGTGTTACAGTGCACATCTTCCCACGCGTGTGTTTAATGAAATCATCGTTTGACTGAACTCATCTGGGCCAGTGTTGGTTTGTTCCTATCCTCAATATCCAAGAATCAGGACAACTGCTGCTTAATATTCATACTGCAGAATCTTTCAAATGTCATCTTAAAGCTCACTTTCATATCATTTTAATTCAAGTTCAGTTTGAGGTTGAAGGAGCACTCAAAAACAGCTTTAATGCTAACTCAAAAAGTAGCAAAACTGAAAATTCAAAATAAACATGCAATACAGAGTCCAAAAATGGCTGCGCAGAAGGCAGCGGTGGCGACGCAGTACAGGAGGCCGTCCATGACAGCGATGATGTCCAGCCAGTGTGGCCCCTAAAGTAGACGGCGACGTTGAGTTGGCGGCCGTAAAAGAGCCAGGTGTACTGGACATGGATGTGCCATCCGAGCATGTTGTGGACCAAATGAGGCAGGACCACACAGCGTGGAAGCTGCAGTTGGAGACTCAGGAGGTGGCTTAGCGGACTCAGAGCGGTCAGCGGACACAAGGTGCTGAAATCCTTCCTTGGACCCTTCAGCAATAATGGACGGCTGAAGCTGCTCCACAGGCCCCTCAGCGAAGACAGAGGACGGCTGAAGCGATCCCTCGAACCCTCCAGCGGAGACAGGAGACGGCGGAAGCGATCCCTTGAACAGGAGATGGCTGAGCGATCCCTCGGACCCTCCAGAGGAGGAAGGCAGCTGAAACTGTTCTCCTGAACTGCAGAGACAGACACAGGGCCAGCAGATGCAGAGACCTCTAGCTGAACAGGCAGCTGAGCAGATGACTGAGCTGGTGACTGAGTTAATAAGTGAGCTAATATTTGAGCTATGGAAAGAAGTTTAAGATGATGTAGTAATGGTGGATGATAATCAGGTAGCTGAGTGAATTCTCCTGAGCTTCCAGAACATGAGGAAAATGGCTGGACGGGCTCACCTGCTGGGTCCATGTAATGGCCGTGATCTTCTGTCATGTGAAGGCTGTGTGCAAGCAGGACAGGGCCCAAAGTGCAGACACACAGCTGCAGCTTTAATGCTAACTCAAAAAGTAACAAAACTGAAAATGCAAAATAAACTTATGCAATACAGACAGTGAGAACACACAGCAGAGGATGAGGGTAGACTGCAACACAGACCAAAGAAAACACAGGGCTTAATACACAGGAAGCAATCAGGGAATGAGAGACAGGAGGGAAACACAGCTGGGACCAGGAGCGATTCAAGGATCAGAGCTTTGGGGATGCTGAGCACCCAGAGAGCTGCCCAGCCAGGCAACATAACCTTTACTCATCACGATGAGACTTCTTCCCCGTCTCTGTCAGTCCCTGCATCCTTAAATGTCTCCAGTTGTCCCGAGTTCCCTCTGACTGTCTCCTTGGTGCATTTAAACCCCTGTTCCTCCCTGTCCTCATCGTCTGTTGTCTTCGTCTCCGTTATCAGTCGTCATAAATTTACCCTCTGTGTGCAAGTCTGCAAATTTCTTTATAGAAATCATGAGATTCTTAAATGCATCAAGTCTCTCTGTGCCTGGGTCCTCGTCATAAAATATGACATCACTGTTTTGTACATTTTAACACAATTTAATCCCCACATTTGTGAAAGAAAAGCAAAACACTTTTTTGAAAAGTCTGTAACAAAACCATCAAATCTGATAAAGGTTATTTAAATGCTGAATGGATTGGAATAAAAAAAAAATACATATCCTAACCTTAATTACTGGCAGAGAATAATGAGTGATGCTCATAATGGGTAAAAAGTAAACGGGCACTTGTCTGAGAGAATCGTTTGTATAATAATCAACAAACTAAAATGTGAAATTCTTCTCCTCAGTTCAAAGACTCGTCCAAAAATACACTCAGCTTGCTTTTAAATTCAAATTTGGTCTTGACAAACTCAAAGTTAATTTTGTTTGGTTTCTAACTTCAGAGATATTCGCGCACACACAGAGCTACAGGTCAGTTGTTGCAGTAAAAGCCCATCAAACCTGACCTTGATTTTTCCACAGTGGGTGCCAGAGATTTCACACCACTGCCCGGGGACGCCCTTCCTGTTGGTCGGGACTCAGGTGGTGGTTTTTCTTAAAGCCATACACGCACCAGTGCGAGGTGTGTGTTTGACACATGCACCGATGCTTCGGTATTGTTTGATCCGTCACTGTCGAGTCGAGGCGAGTCGCGCCGAGCCGAGTAAGTGCTAGTGGGAAAGAGGTGTTATTTCCTCATATTGTCCTTTTTATTTCTTTAATTCTGTGTCTTCCTTCTCCTCAGATGAAAGACATTAAATGTGTGGTGGTGGGTGACTATGAAGCAGGAAAGACCTGCCTGCTCAATTCCTACACAACTGACAAGCTTCCCATTGGAGATTTCCCCACGGTGAGTATCCGAAAACAGCACAGAGTCAAGTGGCTTCCATTCACCAGCTGTGAAACGGCTCAAAAGCCAGCTTGTTATTAACTTAAGAGTGTTCTCTGGAATACTCGGTGTTTGGCTCCATGCTGTCACACAGGAAGTGGTAAATGGTTGTAACTATCTAATCTCTGCAGGTAGAAAAGTGAAAGCAAGGCTCTGTGCAGTCATTGTAATGCTGACAAAGGGCTGGACTGGGGATCATTTCTGTTGATTGACGGATATAATACACTTGACAATAACTTAAAGTTACACTTTCGCTATTAGCGATGGCTCATGGTCAGAGTAGCGATTGGTTTTACCTGAAATCTCTCCCTTCCTAATTGTCCCTCCATCTATTTTCTTAACACATGAATTCATCTTCCTCTGTCTCTTCCTCACTTCTCCACAGCTGGTGCCAGCAGCAGCAGCAGCCTCCTGTGACTGTGAGGTCTGTTTTCTAGTTGTTACTGGTAATAATGTTCATCAGCACCCTGACAGCTAACATTGTCTCTCAGCTTTTCACCACTTCTTCAACACTGAAACTTAAGCGGCGTGAGCGCACAGGTGGGCGAAGGGACAGTGTAGTGCCAAAAAGTGATCGCCTGCCAAAAACTGATTTCCAATGTTTCCGTGTGTTTTTTATGTGTAATATCTTTACATATGTTGGTAAATAGAGTTCGGTGAACAGAGTTTACAAAGGGGTTATATATACAATTTAAAAATTACCTGTTTTTTAAGTATCTTTATCTGTGTTATTGTACTTACATTATAACCAATTCAGTCCTTTTTGTCCACTTAAAATATGTTTACAGAACTAATATTTGTTGCACTTTCTGCTGTCGTCTTGGCCAGATTACTCTTACAAAAGACATTTTTTTTAAATAAAGGATATATAACAATCGCTGCCAAAAACTGATCGTGGCTTCTACCTTGTTACAGGAATGTTGTTTGTGGCTCAAGATTAGGGCTGAACGATTATGGAAAATAATCTAATTGCGATTTTTTGCCCCAATATTGCGATTGCGATGCGATATGCGATTATTTTTTAAGGTCTTTGTCTTCTGTATTATTAAACAAAGACAAGCAATACATCATATAGTATGGCCAATACTATATTACATTAATTTTAAACTGTTCTTTCCTGGAAGACAGACCTCTGTTATGATGACATGAGGTGATGCATGAATTGATGACTGACATTTTTATTTAACTTCTTCAATCACAACAGTATATTTGAACATACACAATAGTTTATTTTTAGCTTACAAACATCTGAGCATAAAGTGCTGACAAGGAACCCTGGTGTAAACATTAAAATGAAAGTCAGTACAATGTGCAGATTGCAGAAATATACATAAAAAAAATCAGTGGCTTTACCACACTCAGTTTTTCGACATCTGTGAACTACTAGACAGTCATTCAATTAAAAAATAATATTAAATAAATAAAACTAATAAATAAAAAATACACACATCTTACTGATCTCTGCAGTCAGTAACATTACACATAAAGTGCAAACATAATAGCAATTGTATAAACACACACACAAACACGCCTTTAAAATTTAAAGGCGTGAAATTGGACGGTCTAGTTCTGATTAGCGTCACCGCTGTCTCGGTGGAGTTTAATAAACTCGGCCGTCTGCTTCTTGCTATCTAAAATATAACCAGACACTGGTGTAAATTCTCGACTGTCTCATACTTCTGTTTAATAAGTTTTCTGTTTGACGTTTAGTCAGCTGTGTGAAAACCAAGGAGGAACCCACCCGGGGGATTAATAAAGTTTTATTTTATCTAATCTAATAACTTTAATCTCAGCCAAACCGATTTACTCACGAACAAACAAAACACTGAAAAAAGCCCAACAATAACATTTTTAGGTTGTCTAAGTGACTTATATATTACGTTTAACCCGAGCAGCGAAACTCCGCGGTGATCTGAAAATGATGTGCCGGGAGTTGTGCCGTTCTCGGCCGCATCAGTAACCCTCGAGCTCCCGGCTAGCTGTCGAGCTGGAGGGTAGCAGACGCCTCTGAAAACGTCGAAGCACTTTTGCAAATATGGGATATCTTGATAAACCGAGCAGATATTTGATGTTTACACAACTACTTTCTCGCCTGAAAATATGTTAAAAGTTTATTTTGTGACCCAGAAAGATTAGTATGAGTAATTTTAAAACTTAGTAGCGGCCGCCATTGCTGGAAACTGGAGTTTGGCTGGGCCGCGCTATGAATTCTGGGATATGGTAGTAATTTGGACAGCCTTCGGCGCGTCGCTGTGACGTAATCGGTCTACAAATGCGGCCTCAGGAGGATGCAGCCCATGAATTTGGACATGTCCAGAGTATAATCGCAGCCTTTGCGGTTAGAAAATTGCACTTGATCATGTCGCGATATTATCGCAAATGCGATATATCGTTCAGCCCTACTCAAGATGACTTGGTATCATTCATGTGGGATACGTTTGACATATGTTTCACATATTATAGACCAACAAGTTACTTATAGCAGTTTAAATACGAGCAATCTGTTTTTGGCAAATACCAGAATTCAGTTTTTGGCAGACAATCACTTTTTGGCACAACACCGCTCGCATTAGGAGATTTGATTGGGCAATCCAGTTCAGCAATGAAAATGAACGAATGGCGAATAGGTCAGTCTGTGTTTAGTTTAACTTCCATCAAGGTTCACTGTGTGGTGGACGGCAATGGGACCAAAAGTGAAGGACACTGAAGATATAAAACTCAAAAACCTGTTTTATTATTTATAAGCGCTTACAAAAATGCATCAAAAAGGCAGGTCAGGGGTGCCGGTTTAGATCACTGGGATGAGCAGGTGACCATGTGCTGAGTGGCAGGAAGTGGCCAGCCTGGGTTGGAGTCTGACCCACAGCTCTTCGGTGCATTTATTTCCTTTCTCTTTGTCGCTCTTTACTGAAAAGGCCAAAAAGATTTTTATTTTTTATATTTTAAAGCAAAAAATGCTTCTTAGAAAATGCATGACAATGGAGGGCAAAACAAAGAACAGAAACAAAATGAGGGGTTAAATACACAAGAGGAGATGAGGGCAGAGTGGAGACGACTCGGGCAAAACTGAACATAACGCACATGAGACGAAAGACTATCAAAATAAAACGAGATGTTATCGAACACGGAAACAGAAGAACGCAAAGACAGAAGGGAAACCAACACGGAGAAAAGACTGACATCATACATGAGACACAAAACACAGAGAAGAAACTAGGACAGACTGGAAGAGAAAGGAAACTGCTGTCATCCGAAGACCATAGAAAACAAAACTGAAAAGCACTAGGAAATAATATAATACTCACAAGCACGAAGCAGAGCTTGAACACAGATCACATCATGAGCACACAAAAACTCAAGACACTGGGTCAAAGATGCAGGACCATGACGACTTCCTCCCAAATCATGATGTTAGTTTCCCTCAGCTGTGTTCCTACTTGTTTCCTCTCCCCTCGTTATCTTCTAAGTATTTTTTGTCTCCCCCTGTCCTTTGTCACGTCCTCATTCATGGTCCTGTGTCTCCCTGCTCTGTGTTTCAGAGTTTTCAGTTTCCCCTTTCCTGCCCTGCTTCTGTGTTGGCCTTTTGTATTCTGTTAAAACAGCAGCATTAAAGCTCTTTTTCCATTAGTACCTATTTGGATCGGCTCGACACGGCACAACTCGTTTTCCATTACAGTGGAGTACCACCTAATGCGCGTGGGGTTATTAAAGCAGCGCGGCCGAGAGTCTCACGATGTGATTAGTATGTGACACGAACGCCACAACAAAGGCGGACGTCGAGGCAACGATCTACCTGCCGCACAGTCTGTGGCTTTTTTTCAGACTCGAGAACCACAATGTTGTTTTTTGGTGACATGAAGTCTTCTGACGTCACATTTTCGGGTCGCCTTGGATCGCTCAAAACCCCATGGAGTAGGTATTTAAAAAGTAGCTGGTACCAGGTACTATGACCTACAGGAAAAACCCTGAAAACACAAGTAGGTACTAATGGAAAAGGGGCTTAAGAATGATTTTGAGTTCTTTCCTGCTTCCTTCCTGCCACACAGCCGTACCTGGACAAAAACAAACACGGTGTTCACCTTACGGCTCTTCACCTAAACTGTGCTCAGTGTCAAGGTCACATTCGTTTCCTGGGCAATAAGCTGTGAATTGTGATGGGCTGTGACTATATCACTGCCACTCTTAATTGCTTATTGTCTCATTGATTGTTAATATATTAACCTTCTTGTTCCTGCCTATATTTTCCTGTTGTTATTAACTATCTAACAACTCGTTGTCAGTGCTGTAGTTGTATCTTAAACCTTTAAGTCATCAGGCCTTAAGTTGAATAACCAGAGTGTCCTCTCTAATCTCCCAGCTGTGCCCTGCATACTTTCTTTAATCTTTGCTTTGTGTTGAGCTGTTTCATGCCAGTGCTGGCTCTTGTGGTGGTGTTTCCTGTCACTCATCTAACAAATAACCACCGCAGTAAGAAAACAGGTCACCTGTAACATTGTTTTTCCAGAGTATTTCTGACTCTTGTTTCACGCCATAACTAAAACATGGCATACAGTTGAGAATGAGTACATATAAATACATTTAAAAACATGCTCTAGGGTATACGTCTGTTTTCCTCCAGTTCTTTTCGATGCGCCTGCAAGATAACCAAAAATGTGGACGACAAATTGAAATGCCCTAAAACTAGAAGTGCTACCATTTGGAAGTCAAAGCCAGAGTCACAGTGCTGTACTCTGGTTTCTGTGCCTGTTTTGTTAGTGTTAGTAACCATAATAAGTGAAAATCGTCGCTGCAGACAAACCCGTTTGATCTGCTGGCCGTTATCTTGAAAACAAGATGATCACGATCAAAGGATTGGTCACTGGAATTCATTTCACTGCAAAGCTTTTGTTTGGTAACACAAAACATCTCTTTAGTTTACAGTGGTGCGTTTTTACCTCTCACTAAAAAATCTAACTCACTCGATGTTCAGTTCAGTTCCCACCAAAACCACTAAAGAGAGCCTTTCAGCCAAGGATGTCAATCTAAAGGAAGCAGCAGTCACAACATTTAGTCTGTGCGTGACCACGATGTTGGCATGTGACCAATATATGATTTGACTTCATGTCTATTGCTATCATATTTTTATGCCATCGCCTTCTGATGGGTTGCCCTACGCAGACAGAAGTTTTGAGCACAGGCAGAAGGTTTCTTCATGGGTGTCCTTTGTCAAGATGATGAACCTCCAACTCGTTGACGCATTTATGTGAGTGTGTGGAACGTATGAGCACCTTTAAGGTTTAATAAGAGTGGGAAACCTTTCATGTATTTATGGCACTTAAACAAAACTTGGTCAGATTTCACCAGTTTATTCTGTCAGCATCCACAAACATGTTTTGTTTCCTTTTTTGGTATAGTTTGGGCTGGAGCCGGTGACCTTGAAACCTCCTTCAGTAGATCTGTGATAGATCTCATCATGCACCGAGTTCTCCTTTAGTCAGCTTTTCACCCACTATGTGTTTTTGCACCACTCTGCATTTAACCTCTTAAGCACCCATGCATAACCGTAAATGTGATCTCCTCCCCTTTGCCCCGTATCTGGGGACATGGGTGCTTAAGAGGGTAATCGATAGTTATTATTATTAACCACTGAGTATCTGATCCAACACTGCTCAAGATCTACTTACAGTTCTGTGAAAACGAAAGGTCAGGGATTCAATCTCTGGCTGCTCTAGTTCATGGGTGTCCTTTGTCAAGATGATGAACCTCCAACTCGTTGACGCATTTATGTGAGTGTGTGGAACGTATGAGCACCTTTAAGGTTTAATAAGAGTGGGAAACCTTTCATGTATTTATGGCACTTAAACAAAACTTGGTCAGATTTCACCAGTTTATTCTGTCAGCATCCACAAACATGTTTTGTTTCCTTTTTTGGTATAGTTTGGGCTGGAGCCGGTGACCTTGAAACCTCCTTCAGTAGATCTGTGATAGATCTCATCATGCACCGAGTTCTCCTTTAGTCAGCTTTTCACCCACTATGTGTTTTTGCACCACTCTGCATTTAACCTCTTAAGCACCCATGCATAACCGTAAATGTGATCTCCTCCCCTTTGCCCCGTATCTGGGGACATGGGTGCTTAAGAGGGTAATCGATAGTTATTATTAATCTCTGCATCCCACTGAGCCTGGTTCCGCCTGAGGTTTCTACCTATTTAAACAGACTATTTCCTTCCCAGTGTCTCCAAAGCTCTTGCTAATAGGTCATCAGATTTTGTTTTGTTTTGTTTTTTTGGGGGGTTTTTTGGTAGTGGGTTCAGTTTTCTCTGTAGTGTTGCAGGGCCTCTTGCAGTATAAAGTGTAGTGATGATGTGATGAAGCCCTGTGAATGTGTCAAATCTTTCTCCTAGAGCAGGGCTGTCCAACTCCAGTCCTCGAGAGCTACCGTCCTGCAGCTTTTAGATGCATCTTTGTTCTGACACACCTGAATCAGATGAATGGCTTGTTATCAGGCCTTTGCCAAACTTGATGGCATGCTGAAGAGGTAATCCAACCATTTGTTTCATCTGTGCTGGAGTAGGGATGGATCTAAAAGGTGCAGGACAATAGCTCTCGAGGACTGGGATTGGGCACCCGTCACACCATTCAACAGCTTATTTGGAAGTACTGACATCTACTCCGCATTTGTTGTACAGCAGCCCTGCCGTGATAATACATTCATTTATTTATTTATTTAGAAAGAAGGACAATACATATTAATGAATATTTTAACAAATAGCCTTGGGCTAATTTCCATCTGCAGACTCTCTGGCAGGTTGGTGTTAATAATAACATACAGAGACAATATTTACAGGTCATGTGACAAGGACAAAAACAGTGGTCACATTATACTAGAACAAACAATGACAAGAACTTTGTATATTAGAAAGGCAGATTTAAATAATTTGAAATTAGTAAAATTTAGAAACTTGTATTTATCTAAAATTTGACAATGATGATATGAAAAAGGTTTCTTATCTAATATTTTCAATGATCTTTGTAGCACACTTCGATTGGCCCAATAGCAGCAAAGCTCGTATAGGACCAACTTGTAATACAGTATTCAATATGAGCCGGTATCATAGAGCGCAGGAATGTAATCGCTGCTGTCTGTTAATGATGTGCGGATATGTCTAAAGTTCTGTGTATTAACATTTACAGTTTTCACTACATATGGTCTGCATAACAGTTGATATATAAACGTATTGATGTATCAATTGCAGAATACCCATATGAGGTCCTGTATAATATAAATATATACATGCACACTCACCCCTCACTAACCATCCTCTTTGAGACTGATTTAAGACTTAAGACTTGAACAGAAGAGCAGGTATAACGTAACAGCTATAGCTTTGAATTTAGAGGATCTGCTGGGGATCAGTACGAGCCGGAGTGCTGCCAAGCTTGTTATACAGAGGGAGAACCCTGCTGCTCCCTCTCGACAGCTATGTCCTCACACAATATGCTCGGTTGTTATAGTGACTTTGTGCTAAAGACCTGGCAGGTTGCAGACCACTGAGTATCTGATCCAACACTGCTCAAGATCTACTTACAGTTCTGTGAAAACGAAAGGTCAGGGATTCAATCTCTGGCTGCTCTAGTTCATGGGTGTCCTTTGTCAAGATGATGAACCTCCAACTCGTTGACGCATTTATGTGAGTGTGTGGAACGTATGAGCACCTTTAAGGTTTAATAAGAGTGGGAAACCTTTCATGTATTTATGGCACTTAAACAAAACTTGGTCAGATTTCACCAGTTTATTCTGTCAGCATCCACAAACATGTTTTGTTTCAGCAGTGTAATCTTTGTTTAACACTGGAACTACGTGGCTTTGGTTCAGCTCCACAGACTAACTGAGACGACACTCGTTCAGAGGTTTAACTAGTCCAGAAGTCTACTTCCAGTTTTGTTTGGAGTACATCTGCAATCAAGGTTTTTCACAGGCTTACTGTCTTTTTCTTTGTTTCCTCACTCCTTGCCTTCTGTCCCCCCAGTCGTTTGCTACCTGTGTCAAGACAGTGAAGATCAATGACGAGGAGTACAATCTGCAACTGTGTGACTCTTCAGGTAAAAAATACACATAAACTGAAACAAAACAGATACTAATAGCAACAGCTGTAGCATATTTATAGTAGTAGCAGTATTTCCTGTAATGTTCGGAGCTGCTGGTGATGGATAGGATCCTATAGCAATTTGAAATCTTGCTACACTGTCCTTATGAAGTTCCTTATGAAATCTTTATTTTTGGGCTGCGGCACTTATGAAACACGAACAGTTATCTGGCAACAGCTGTCAATCAAAGCAGCCATGCCACTGACTTTAAGCCTCACCAGTATCTTGATGGGTGATTTAGAAAAACATTACCCACCATACAGTTTCTATGAGGGAATAAATCAGTCCATAGATGACAAAACTGTGTTTTATATCAGGTTGAGAATGTAATTATTTCTGCTGTAAAGTTTTAGCCCCAAGTGGATATTAAAGGAACTGCAGTGTTTCTTTTTTCACATTTTTCAGGCCCAGAGATAACTGCTTATATTTGCCTTGCTTTGGTTGCTCTGTTTGTTGCGGATCTTTTTCGTGTGTGTCTGCCTCTGCAGGTCAGGAGAACTACGAAAACATACGACTTAACACGTACACTGACACCGACGTCTTCCTTGTCTGTTTCTCTGTCGTATCGCCCTCAACCTTTGAGAACGTCACAGACAAGGTTCGTTTAGATGGTTTGTGTGTTTTATTTCTAATTTGATGCTCATGTCCTTCACTTTAATTACTTCCATAACTAGAAATATAATGAGCCAAACTCTAAGGACAAAGTTCTCCCCGTGTTTGCGTGGGTTCACCCCGGGTACTCCGGCTTCCTCCCACCGTCCAAAAGACATGCAACTTGTGGGGATAGGTTAATTGGATAATCCAAATTGCCACTAGGTGTGAATGTGAGTGCGAATGGTTGTCTGTCCCTGTGTGTTATCCCTGTGACAGACTGGCGACCTGTCCAGGGTGTACCCCGCCTCTCGCCCTATGACAGCTGGGATGGGCTCCAGCGACCCTGAAAAGGAGAAGCGGATGAATTGAATTGAATTGAACAGGTGAACCTAATAAAGTGGCTGCTGAATGTATGTGGTGTGACTTAAGTGAACTGCGCAGTAGTTGGTTACGCATTGTCTTTGTCGTTATTATGATTTTCTCCATTTCATCAATTATTCAAATAAATCTTTCACACTTCATTTTTGTGTCTGAACACTTTTACTGTACATTAGGCCAATATTTTTGCAGTTTTCTGTCCAAGATCAGGGCGTTTTCAATAAAAATTTAAAAAACAACAACAACATTTTAACCACTTGAGAGCTGAGTTAAGAGTGGTGAGAATTACATTCCTGCTGTGAGATTTGCACAGCGACTGACTCAAGGTCAGTGTCACCATGGCAAACAAAGAACCTGAGCTCTGTGACAATGATTGTAATTTAACCCAAAACCATGATCTAAATAATATCGATCAGTTTTCACTTCCTGAATGTTTTTTTTCTTTTCTTTTCTTTTCTTTTCTTTTCTTTTTTTTTTTTTTTTTTTTTTACAAAATTCTTCCTACAAAGTATAAAAGAAAACAGAAAGTAAGTAAGTAAACAAAATGTAGATTAGATTCTGCATTGTTGGTTTGATCCACGTGAGATAAAACTGGAATGAACTGAAATAGTTTCGTTTTTGAAAAGAGTGCAGAACAGGACCGACTGGATGATAAAACAGTAGCACACTCAGAAGATTTCCTAGGCAGCCTCTGAGTCACTATTATTACGGAGAGTATATTCTCGAGGCCAAACAACCTTCAGATCAGTGTTAAAATTCTGATGAAGCGTGACAGCACGAGGACGCTGATGCTGGAATTATACTGAAAAGCTCCTGACTGACCCGGAGAAGATACTGAGGTAGGCCACAGCCCACAAATCTCCTCCGTGAATATATCAGGCAAGCATCTGTTTGTTTTGTATTATTTGAATTCTGCATATTGTATTTTACAAGCAGTTGCATCTTGTGTAGACTTTTGTCTAACACTGTGCAGTCAGTCATCAGTTTTTTACTGACACAAGAAGAGTTAGAGAAGAGAGGGAGACTTAAGTTAACTGGAAACCCAAAATCTTTACAAGCTTGTTTGATCTTTTTTTTTCATATGCTTTACAATCATTTTAATTTAAAAGTAAAATGTATTTAAAACTAGCAATAAATTCAATGACCTCTCATTTAATGTCGTGTTTTGTTGTTTTATGTTATTTGTTAGAACAGAAGTAATGCTAACTCCCAAAAGGTTGATTCTGTTCATCTGGACGTAGAAACGTTTCGTCACTCATCCAACTGACTTCTTCGGTCTCAGCTGACTGCAGGTTTCCCCAAACCTTATTAACAGTACATTTACACAGTGACTGAAACTAGCACCACTGAATGACCAATGGGCTGTGAGGTCAGTTCCTTGATCTGATCAATGGCCATGAGTACCATTCACAGAGAATTGCTGCAATCACAGCATTGTAAGATGAAGAAAGATGAAGCCTCCCCATGATGAGGATTTACACATCCTGGACAGGGAGGAACGCTGGTATGAGCAGGGAGTCAAGAAGGCCATTTACATAAATCTCTGAGTCGAGGAGGGGGCCTAAGGGTACATTTTTGTTGATTAGAGAATATTAACTCAAATAGGACTAGAGCGTTAAGTCTAGTGATTTAACTTTGGTTACTCACATCTTGAGACTGTTGCAGAAACCCAGAGTACCCAGAGAGCAAATAAGTCAATGGATAAGATAAGTCAAAGCTAATGTCGATCACAGAGGACATAAATGAAAAGGCTGTTATTCTCGGGAGGATATGACAAACTAATCCTCTGCTTGCTGTTGACACTGTTTCCGTGAATCGCTCAACAGCGACATCTGCTCGGTTTAAAAAGTAATTGCAGGAAACCTGGAGACAGACTGAAGTTCGTTCACTTTGACATGTGGACAGCAAACGAGTGATGAGTAGTCCTGTTTAGTTAGCCAAGTGACGATAGAGTTCTAACTGGACAAAATAGAATAACACGGAGCAGAACAAAAATAATAGGAATGACTAATACGTGCTTGTAAAAGTGGGAGTTCATGTGTATCTGTGTGTGAGGGGAGAAGACAGGCTTTACGGTTCATTATTAATAAGAAAGAAGACGAAGTTTGTGTCGCATTTTGCGGCCAAGGTGACATCCTACAGATATCGCTGGAATTCATTCATGACGAGTGAAACCCGTAAACACACAAACGGCACTGTTAACGCTCCTATCGTCCTCCTAGCTTCAGTCACGTGGGTTTTTCTTAAAGCCATACACGCACCGGTGCGAGGCGTGTGTTTGACACATGCACCGATGCTTCGGTATTGTTTGATCCGTCACTGTCGAGTCGAGGCGAGTCGCGCCGAGCCGAGTAAGTGCTAGTGGGAAAGAGGTGTTATTTCCTCATATTGTCCTTTTTATTTCTTTAATTCTGTGTCTTCCTTCTCCTCAGATGAAAGACATTAAATGTGTGGTGGTGGGTGACTATGAAGCAGGAAAGACCTGCCTGCTCAATTCCTACACAACTGACAAGCTTCCCATTGGAGATTTCCCCACGGTGAGTATCCGAAAACAGCACAGAGTCAAGTGGCTTCCATTCACCAGCTGTGAAACGGCTCAAAAGCCAGCTTGTTATTAACTTAAGAGTGTTCTCTGGAATACTCGGTGTTTGGCTCCATGCTGTCACACAGGAAGTGGTAAATGGTTGTAACTATCTAATCTCTGCAGGTAGAAAAGTGAAAGCAAGGCTCTGTGCAGTCATTGTAATGCTGACAAAGGGCTGGACTGGGGATCATTTCTGTTGATTGACGGATATAATACACTTGACAATAACTTAAAGTTACACTTTCGCTATTAGCGATGGCTCGTGGTCAGAGTAGCGATTGGTTTTACCTGAAATCTCTCCCTTCCTAATTGTCCCTCCATCTATTTTCTTAACACATGAATTCATCTTCCTCTGTCTCTTCCTCACTTCTCCACAGCTGGTGCCAGCAGCAGCAGCAGCCTCCTGTGACTGTGAGGTCTGTTTTCTAGTTGTTACTGGTAATAATGTTCATCAGCACCCTGACAGCTAACATTGTCTCTCAGCTTTTCACCACTTCTTCAACACTGAAACTTAAGCGGCGTGAGCGCACAGGTGGGCGAAGGGACAGTGTAGTGCCAAAAAGTGATCGCCTGCCAAAAACTGATTTCCAATGTTTCCGTGTGTTTTTTATGTGTAATATCTTTACATATGTTGGTAAATAGAGTTCGGTGAACAGAGTTTACAAAGGGGTTATATATACAATTTAAAAATTACCTGTTTTTTAAGTATCTTTATCTGTGTTATTGTACTTACATTATAACCAATTCAGTCCTTTTTGTCCACTTAAAATATGTTTACAGAACTAATATTTGTTGCACTTTCTGCTGTCGTCTTGGCCAGATTACTCTTACAAAAGACATTTTTTTTAAATAAAGGATATATAACAATCGCTGCCAAAAACTGATCGTGGCTTCTACCTTGTTACAGGAATGTTGTTTGTGGCTCAAGATGACTTGGTATCATTCATGTGGGATACGTTTGACATATGTTTCACATATTATAGACCAACAAGTTACTTATAGCAGTTTAAATACGAGCAATCTGTTTTTGGCAAATACCAGAATTCAGTTTTTGGCAGACAATCACTTTTTGGCACAACACCGCTCGCATTAGGAGATTTGATTGGGCAATCCAGTGTCAGCAATGAAAATGAACGAATGGGCGAATAGGTCAGTCTGTGTTTAGTTTAACTTCCATCAAGGTTCACTGTGTGGTGGACGGCAATGGGACCAAAAGTGAAGGACACTGAAGATATAAAACTCAAAAACCTGTTTTATTATTTATAAGCGCTTACAAAAATGCATCAAAAAGGCAGGTCAGGGGTGCCGGTTTAGATCACTGGGATGAGCAGGTGACCATGTGCTGAGTGGCAGGAAGTGGCCAGCCTGGGTTGGAGTCTGACCCACAGCTCTTCGGTGCATTTATTTCCTTTCTCTTTGTCGCTCTTTACTGAAAAGGCCAAAAAGATTTTTATTTTTTATATTTTAAAGCAAAAAATGCTTCTTAGAAAATGCATGACAATGGAGGGCAAAACAAAGAACAGAAACAAAATGAGGGGTTAAATACACAAGAGGAGATGAGGGCAGAGTGGAGACGACTCGGGCAAAACTGAACATAACGCACATGAGACGAAAGACTATCAAAATAAAACGAGATGTTATCGAACACGGAAACAGAAGAACGCAAAGACAGAAGGGAAACCAACACGGAGAAAAGACTGACATCATACATGAGACACAAAACACAGAGAAGAAACTAGGACAGACTGGAAGAGAAAGGAAACTGCTGTCATCCGAAGACCATAGAAAACAAAACTGAAAAGCACTAGGAAATAATATAATACTCACAAGCACGAAGCAGAGCTTGAACACAGATCACATCATGAGCACACAAAAACTCAAGACACTGGGTCAAAGATGCAGGACCATGACGACTTCCTCCCAAATCATGATGTTAGTTTCCCTCAGCTGTGTTCCTACTTGTTTCCTCTCCCCTCGTTATCTTCTAAGTATTTTTTGTCTCCCCCTGTCCTTTGTCACGTCCTCATTCATGGTCCTGTGTCTCCCTGCTCTGTGTTTCAGAGTTTTCAGTTTCCCCTTTCCTGCCCTGCTTCTGTGTTGGCCTTTTGTATTCTGTTAAAACAGCAGCATTAAAGCTCTTTTTCCATTAGTACCTATTTGGATCGGCTCGACACGGCACAACTCGTTTTCCATTACAGTGGAGTACCACCTAATGCGCGTGGGGTTATTAAAGCAGCGCGGCCGAGAGTCTCACGATGTGATTAGTATGTGACACGAACGCCACAACAAAGGCGGACGTCGAGGCAACGATCTACCTGCCGCACAGTCTGTGGCTTTTTTTCAGACTCGAGAACCACAATGTTGTTTTTTGGTGACATGAAGTCTTCTGACGTCACATTTTCGGGTCGCCTTGGATCGCTCAAAACCCCATGGAGTAGGTATTTAAAAAGTAGCTGGTACCAGGTACTATGACCTACAGGAAAAACCCTGAAAACACAAGTAGGTACTAATGGAAAAGGGGCTTAAGAATGATTTTGAGTTCTTTCCTGCTTCCTTCCTGCCACACAGCCGTACCTGGACAAAAACAAACACGGTGTTCACCTTACGGCTCTTCACCTAAATTGTGCTCAGTGTCAAGGTCACATTCGTTTCCTGGGCAATAAGCTGTGAATTGTGATGGGCTGTGACTATATCACTGCCACTCTTAATTGCTTATTGTCTCATTGATTGTTTATATATTAACCTTCTTGTTCCTGCCTATATTTTCCTGTTGTTATTAACTATCTAACAACTCGTTGTCAGTGCTGTAGTTGTATCTTAAACCTTTAAGTCATCAGGCCTTAAGTTGAATAACCAGAGTGTCCTCTCTAATCTCCCAGCTGTGCCCTGCATACTTTCTTTAATCTTTGCTTTGTGTTGAGCTGTTTCATGCCAGTGCTGGCTCTTGTGGTGGTGTTTCCTGTCACTCATCTAACAAATAACCACCGCAGTAAGAAAACAGGTCACCTGTAACATTGTTTTTCCAGAGTATTTCTGACTCTTGTTTCACGCCATAACTAAAACATGGCATACAGTTGAGAATGAGTACATATAAATACATTTAAAAACATGCTCTAGGGTATACGTCTGTTTTCCTCCAGTTCTTTTCGATGCGCCTGCAAGATAACCAAAAATGTGGACGACAAATTGAAATGCCCTAAAACTAGAAGTGCTACCATTTGGAAGTCAAAGCCAGAGTCACAGTGCTGTACTCTGGTTTCTGTGCCTGTTTTGTTAGTGTTAGTAACCATAATAAGTGAAAATCGTCGCTGCAGACAAACCCGTTTGATCTGCTGGCCGTTATCTTGAAAACAAGATGATCACGATCAAAGGATTGGTCACTGGAATTCATTTCACTGCAAAGCTTTTGTTTGGTAACACAAAACATCTCTTTAGTTTACAGTGGTGCGTTTTTACCTCTCACTAAAAAATCTAACTCACTCGATGTTCAGTTCAGTTCCCACCAAAACCACTAAAGAGAGCCTTTCAGCCAAGGATGTCAATCTAAAGGAAGCAGCAGTCACAACATTTAGTCTGTGCGTGACCACGATGTTGGCATGTGACCAATATATGATTTGACTTCATGTCTATTGCTATCATATTTTTATGCCATCGCCTTCTGATGGGTTGCCCTACGCAGACAGAAGTTTTGAGCACAGGCAGAAGGTTTCCTTTCCTTTTTTGCAAATGGTATAGTTTGGGCTGGAGCCGGTGACCTTGAAACCTCCTTCAGTAGATCTGTGATAGATCTGATCATGCACCGAGTTCTCCTTTAGTCAGCTTTTCACCCACTATGTGTTTTTGCACCACTCTGCATTTAACCTCTTAAGCACCCATGCATAACCGTAAATGTGATCTCCTCCCCTTTGCCCTGTATCTGGGGACATGGGTGCTTAAGAGGGTAATCGATAGTTATTATTAATCTCTGCATCCCACTGAGCCTGGTTCCGCCTGAGGTTTCTACCTATTTAAACAGAGTATTTCCTTCCCAGTGTCTCCAAAGCTCTTGCTCATAGGTCATCAGATTTTGTTTTGTTTTGTTTTTTTGGGGGGTTTTTTGGTAGTGGGTTCAGTTTTCTCTGTAGTGTTGCAGGGCCTCTTGCAGTATAAAGTGTAGTGATGATGTGATGAAGCCCTGTGAATGTGTCAAATCTTTCTCCTAGAGCAGGGCTGTCCAACTCCAGTCCTCGAGAGCTACCGTCCTGCAGCTTTTAGATGCATCTTTGTTCTGACACACCTGAATCAGATGAATGGCTTGTTATCAGGCCTTTGCCAAACTTGATGGCATGCTGAAGAGGTAATCCAACCATTTGTTTCATCTGTGCTGGAGTAGGGATGGATCTAAAAGGTGCAGGACAATAGCTCTCGAGGACTGGGATTGGGCACCCGTCACACCATTCAACAGCTTATTTGGAAGTACTGACATCTACTCCGCATTTGTTGTACAGCAGCCCTGCCGTGATAATACATTCATTTATTTATTTATTTAGAAAGAGGGACAATACATATTAATGAATATTTTAACAAATAGCCTTGGGCTAATTTCCATCTGCAGACTCTCTGGCAGGTTGGTGTTAATAATAACATACAGAGACAATATTTACAGGTCATGTGACAAGGACAAAAACAGTGGTCACATTATACTAGAACAAACAATGACAAGAACTTTGTATATTAGAAAGGCAGATTTAAATAATTTGAAATTAGTAAAATTTTGAAACTTGTATTTATCTAAAATTTGACAATGATGATATGAAAAAGGTTTCTTATCTAATATTTTCAATGATCTTTGTAGCACACTTCGATTGGCCCAATAGCAGCAAAGCTCGTATAGGACCAACTTGTAATACAGTATTCAATATGAGCCGGTATCATAGAGCGCAGGAATGTAATCGCTGCTGTCTGTTAATGATGTGCGGATATGTCTAAAGTTCTGTGTATTAACATTTACAGTTTTCACTACATATGGTCTGCATAACAGTTGATATATAAACGTATTGATGTATCAATTGCAGAATACCCATATGAGGTCCTGTATAATATAAATATATACATGCACACTCACCCCTCACTAACCATCCTCTTTGAGACTGATTTAAGACTTAAGACTTGAACAGAAGAGCAGGTATAACGTAACAGCTATAGCTTTGAATTTAGAGGATCTGCTGGGGATCAGTACGAGCCGGAGTGCTGCCAAGCTTGTTATACAGAGGGAGAACCCTGCTGCTCCCTCTCGACAGCTATGTCCTCACACAATATGCTCGGTTGTTATAGTGACTTTGTGCTAAAGACCTGGCAGGTTGCAGACCACTGAGTATCTGATCCAACACTGCTCAAGATCTACTTACAGTTCTGTGAAAACGAAAGGTCAGGGATTCAATCTCTGGCTGCTCTAGTTCATGGGTGTCCTTTGTCAAGATGATGAACCTCCAACTCGTTGACGCATTTATGTGAGTGTGTGGAACATATGAGCACCTTTAAGGTTTAATAAGAGTGGGAAACCTTTCATGTATTTATGGCACTTAAACAAAACTTGGTCAGATTTCACCAGTTTATTCTGTCAGCATCCACAAACATGTTTTGTTTCAGCAGTGTAATCTTTGTTTAACACTGGAACTACGTGGCTTTGGTTCAGCTCCACAGACTAACTGAGACGACACTCGTTCAGAGGTTTAACTAGTCCAGAAGTCTACTTCCAGTTTTGTTTGGAGTACATCTGCAATCAAGGTTTTTCACAGGCTTACTGTCTTTTTCTTTGTTTCCTCACTCCTTGCCTTCTGTCCCCCCAGTCGTTTGCTACCTGTGTGAAGACAGTGAAGATCAATGACGAGGAGTACAATCTGCAACTGTGTGACTCTTCAGGTAAAAAATACACATAAACTGAAACAAAACAGATACTAATAGCAACAGCTGTAGCATATTTATAGTAGTAGCAGTATTTCCTGTAATGTTCGGAGCTGCTGGTGATGGATAGGATCCTATAGCAATTTGAAATCTTGCTACACTGTCCTTATGAAGTTCCTTATGAAATCTTTATTTTTGGGCTGCGGCACTTATGAAACACGAACAGTTATCTGGCAACAGCTGTCAATCAAAGCAGCCATGCCACTGACTTTAAGCCTCACCAGTATCTTGATGGGTGATTTAGAAAAACATTACCCACCATACAGTTTCTATGAGGGAATAAATCAGTCCATAGATGACAAAACTGTGTTTTATATCAGGTTGAGAATGTAATTATTTCTGCTGTAAAGTTTTAGCCCCAAGTGGATATTAAAGGAACTGCAGTGTTTCTTTTTTCACATTTTTCAGGCTCGGAGATAACTGCTTATATTTGCCTTGCTTTGGTTGCTCTGTTTGTTGCGGATCTTTTTCGTGTGTGTCTGCCTCTGCAGGTCAGGAGAACTACGAAAACATACGACTTAACACGTACACTGACACCGACGTCTTCCTTGTCTGTTTCTCTGTCGTATCGCCCTCAACCTTTGAGAACGTCACAGACAAGGTTCGTTTAGATGGTTTGTGTGTTTTATTTCTAATTTGATGCTCATGTCCTTCACTTTAATTACTTCCATAACTAGAAATATAATGAGCCAAACTCTAAGGACAAACACACACAGAGCAGAGATCGTTAGGGTTGCAGTGAAACCGCATCAAACCTTTAGCTTGTCTTTTTACAGTGGGTGCCAGAGATTTTACGCTTCTCTCCAAAGACGCCATTCCTGCTGGTTGGGACTCAGGTGGATCTGAGAGATAACGAGAACACCCTGGAACAAGCCCTGACCTTTACGAGTGGCGAGGAACTGGCTCATGAGCTGAAGGCCGTTAAATACATGGAGTGTTCGGCTCGGACTCAGGTACAGAGAGAGAAAAATAAGTCTGCTGGTGGGATTCTCTGTTGAGAAAGAAGCCTTGGTATCGATACGTTTTGGGCAATAAGAATAAAAGAAATATGAACATCATCATTACTCACAGAGTCACAGGAAATCTTTACACTTAATAAAAAGGCATCAAAACCCATTTGTCAAAACCTAGTGGAAGTAAAAAATAACTACAAAACATCTCAGGTTGGGGTCCTGGTTACATACTCCTGATATATCTAAAACAATCACCACCACGGGGGGTCGTGGTTTGGTCCCGCCTTCGCCATTGTGGTTGATGTGGAGGTAGGGACGGGCTTAGGGGGTCTGGAGAATCCCTAGAGACGTTATCCCTGGAGGACTTAACCCAGGGGTTGTGGTCATAACGTGGTTAGTGCCCCCCCTCCCTTTTTGGCCACTTGTGCCTCAATTTTATTCCACAACTTAGACATCCACATTACTCACACTCTCATAACACATACATATAGGGCCTTGAGGGTGGGCACATTAACAGCGTCTTGTGGACGGTCTGTGTATTCAACCCCACCTCTGGCGCCGGTGCCCACCTCTCAATTTTAAATCCATGTAGACATTGAGGGTTCTCGGGAGGGGCCGTGCTAACACCTGCTGCTCTCTGGCAGCAGCACCATGCTCTCCCGTGTTTTAAATGCACCTTAGAACAACACGCAGCAACACTACACATGAGCGAGAGGAGGGAGGTTTGGGGTCTTCACACACCCCTGTTCTCTGCTGGCCATCGGGGCGGGGGGGCTGGGAGGAGGTGTTGGCCGTCCGATTGGGATCTGGGATGCGGGGCCTCCCTGCTGCTGCGGAGCCTGGGGCGGTCTGCTTGCCTCCACCCCGGGGGAAAGGGTAACTGGTCTAGGTGCCATTTCCACCTCTAGGGGCGAGGGTACCTGGACCTGGGGTATAGAGTTTGTTTGGGGGTGGCCCTCTGGGCCTGCGGCTCGGTTCACTCTGGCACAGCTGGCTGCCGGCCGAGCCGGCGGGCACGCCGCTGCAGCCCCCTCTGGCTTCTGCTCCGTGGCTACTGGGTGACCCTCATCTGGGGATCCTCAGCTCTTCCCATGAGGGTGGCACGGATGCCCCTCCGGTGGTCCTCCTTGGGCTCTCGCACTCTGGGGCCTCTGGATGTCTGGGGCCTGGATCTCCTCCATGCCTGCTTCATGCCCTGGGGGACGGGGCTATGGCTCTCTACATCCTCTAGCAGACCATTACATGGGAAACCTTTTGAATACAAGCGCGCTGATCCACACAGGTGTGCACAGGGTGTTCACTGTTCATAGACATAAACTATTGGCTGCTATTTCCAAGCACATTGTGCGCTGTCGGTCCTGCTTGCTACACAACAACATTCAATATTTAGTATTTACTGCTGTTTACACTTAGCTAGATTAACGTGATGGTGTTGTGTTTAGTATGTTGCTCTGTTTTTTTTTTTGCTTGTTTTCTCTTCTTTTTCTCTCAACAGGTGATCCAGGAGATTTTTTCTCTTCTTTCTCTTTTTAAGTGCCCTTTCTCACTGTCCCTCTCCCCTTCTGTTTTTCTTTTCCTTCCTCTTTCTTTCTCCCTTTCCTATCCCTCAGTCATGTCTGTCCCGTCTGTAACAACTGAAAATAAAATAAAATAAATAATAACAACAAAGGTCGATCAAATGGACCAATACGGCAAGGCCGTGATGATCCATTTGGCAAAGTAAATCCATTGGGTATCCTTGTTGGTCTTCAGACAACAATTCTGACGGCTAAAGAACCAAATGGGACAGGCAAAAAAAAAAAAAAAAAAAGAAAAAATCACAGTTAACGATTACCAACTTAAAACAGAATAGATCAGCAAAGCATGGTGAATTTACCGACGATACTGTTTAAAATTGCAACATAAACTAAATAATTAAGATAAAAAAAATTACAAATCACAAAAATTAAAGATAATAACAAAATTTTTAAGTATGGCTCAACATATTTGAGTAAAATACTGGCCTCTATGACTCTAATACCTGCAGCACCTCACCCAGAAGGCTTCGGCATCCCCTCTCTGTGGGTGAGCCCAGACCCCACAGGGGAAGCTCATTTCCACTGCTTGTATCTGCAGCCACTGCCCTACAAATCAGTCTGCCAACCTCCTGCTCCACTCTCGCCTCACACCTGTTCTTAGGCAGCAGCTCCTCTCCCATTTCTAACTGAGAACAGTGGCCTTAGTTGCGAGCTGCAGTTCATCACGCAGTGAAGCCAAAATAACCAAAGCCTCCTCAGCAGGGAAAGAGGAAACCCTCTGTGCCTAAAAATTAATAACAATTATGAACAGAACCTTTCTCAGAGTGACACTAAAAACTAGTTCATGCATGTATTACTTCTAGGCTAGACTACAGTAATTCGTTACTATCAGGATGTCCTGAAAACTCCCTGAGACGGCTTCAGTACTCTTGCTGACAGGGACTAGAAAGAGAGCAGATTTCTCCTGTTTTGGCTTCCCTTCATTGGCTTCCTGTTAAATCCAGAATTGAATTCAAAATCCTGCTCCTCACATACAAGGTCTTAAATAATCAGGCCCCATCTTATCTTAATGACCTTGTAGTACCATATCACCCTATTAGAGCACTTCGCTCTCGCTCTGCAGGCCTACTTGTTGTTCCTAGAGTATTTAAAAGTAGAATGGGAGGCAGAGCCTTCAGTTTTCAGGCCCCTCTTCTGTGGAACCAGCTTCCAGTTTGGATTCAGGAGACAGACACTATCTCTACTTTCAAGATTAGGCTTCAAACTTTCCTTTTTGCTAAAGCATATAGTTAGGGCTGGACCAGGTGACCTTGAATCCCCCCTTAGTTATACTACAATAGGTCGAGGGTGCTGGGGGATTCCCATGATGCATTTAGTGTTTCTTCTTCACTCACTATGCCTCTCTGGATTGTTGAATCATTAGTTATTATTAATCTCTGGTTCTCTTTCACAGCATGTCTTTTGTCCTGTCTTCCTTCTCTCACCCCAATTGGCCACGGCAGATGGCCCCGCCCCTCCCTGACCCTGGTTCTGCTGAAGGTTTCTTCCTGTTAAAAGGGAGTTTTTCCTTCTGTCATCAAAGTGCTTGCTCATAGGGGCTCATATGACTGTTGGGGTTTTCTTTGTATTTCTCTGTTTTCTTTGTATTATTGTCAGGTCTCTACCTTACAATATAAAACTGCCACGCACCTTTGAATATGTTCAGAGGATAAATACTTGATGCAGTGTGTCCAAGGACCAGGATAAAAACTGCCTTTCTCTTCCTGAATCTGAGGTTTGACCAGTGCCTTTCAAGGAAGGAACAGTCTGTGGTAAACAGGGGAGCCACCTCCCCAGTGCGCCAGCACAGAGGCGCTGTACTCAACGTCCATGCAATGTTTCAGAGGCACGTCAGCAGGACTGCAGAGACCATCATGATTTCTCACATCTTAGATTTTTCCTTGTAGAGTATCAAAATAAACAGTTTATATTCACAATTTCCTGTTTATCTTGATACTCTGCTAGGAAATAGATCTTTATTTTGATCTGATAACTCCTCCACCTCTTTCTGAAGTAGAAATCTTTTTTTCCTCTTGTTAAATTTGAGTGTCTCTTTCTGTCTCGTTTTCAGGAAGGAGTGAGGGAGGTGTTTGAAGAGGCCATCCTGGCAACTCGAAATCCTACAGATAAAAAATCCACTTACTTCTGTGTTCTGCTATAAACGGAAAAGGAGAAGGAGAAGAGGAAAAGAGGGTTTAGGAGGAAGAAGGGGAGGTGGACCCGGAATCATTAGCCCATATGAGTGTTCAGCCATAATGGCATAGGCTGGAGTCTGTGAATCGACATCATAATTTATTAATTAATTTTAAATTTAAAATGTTTTACATTTTAAAATAGATGTGTGGGGGGTTAAGTTAGGAAGAGAATTACACAGTTTTACAGCAGTAATCTTTTGCCTGCTATGGACCGTTTTCCCTCCTCCATTTGGGATGGAGGCTGCACAGCATCCTGGTGAGGCCGAAGAATTGCTGCTTTTCTGGATACTGTGACAATGTTAAACTGTGCTAAACCTCCACATCTCTAAAATGATTTAATAGGTAATATATTTATTTACTTGTTTATTTCATATATAAATGATTATATTTTTAGTTGGCTGTTTACTATTTTTGATTGTTAGTCAGAGAACTGAGTAACTGCAGTGTCGTGTTTTCTTTGTGGTGAATGACAATAAAGAATCCTTGAATCCTTTAAACTGTACATTGTAAAGCTTCTCTTAAATTATCTGAATTCATTTCCTGGTTAGAGCTAAACATTTAAAAGTGCTTAATACATTTGACACATTTAGTACTCGATACATGAGAGAGCACACATCCCTGCTGTGTCTCTGGGAGCTGTTAAATCAGGGTTCTTGAACTTTTTCTTCCCTAAATAAGAGTCAGGCAAGGTTATCTTTTTAAAGTTCCTCTCTAATAATGTCTGAATTCATTTACTGATTATAAGTAAACATTTGAAATGTGTTTAATTCAATCTGCAGATCAAATGCTCCCTACATGAGAGTGGACACGTGGTTTACATCTGCAGAGCAGATGCAGTGTCCACTCACAGAACTCTAGGGGGAGCTGCTCCACAGGTTTTCAGTGGGCCCTGGTGGATCTGGTATGTAAATGACCTGGGTTCATTTTGATTGGCAGACTAAAATGGATCCTTCAGACCAACATGGCATGGAGGCTGAGACCCGCTCGCTCCTTTGTCTGACTAACAGCAGCAGCCAGGCGTGAACCAGACGGAAAAGAAAAAATGAATTAGCCCTCCATTCACAGCACAGCCCGATCTCTCTCGCCTACTCCCATCCTCTTCTTCAATGCCTTCTCCCATCAGCCTTTTCTCCGTGCGTCTTTGTGTCTTTTGTCTGAGCCTTTGAGGTCTTTGTGTTTGAGTCCTCTCAGCTCATCTAAAAACTTGAGTCATCATCCTTTCACAACAGTTTCTAACCACAGTGATCACTGATACAAACTGCAGGAGCAACATGTTTACAGTTGTCTTATGTGGAGCTCTACCCTCATCATGTTCGAGACATAAACCACTCAAATGAGCTTAAAGGCCATTTATCAGATCTCATTTAATACACTGTTATATGCAGTTACACCTCTGGATAAAAATAACCTGAACACAATCCCATCCACATAAACATGTAGATTTTTATCCACCGAAAAACTTTCAAGTGAGACTTCCCAGAGGTGAGGAAATAGAAAAAGTAGAAAATCAGTGTATAAAATGTTGGTTTTCAGGCTTATATGCAGAAATGTGTCCTTGTTGTGCAGATGATAATAAATTGAAGGTCATTCCACACCAGGTAGTTTGCAAGGTGGTAAAAGATGCATTAATGCTCATTTAAATCCATTTAAAGTATCTGGAGCAAAAGTACTTATCATGCAGAATAATGAACATGATATTAATGACTTTATATGATACAGGGACTAAATACGGCCTGAGGGTCAGAGATGGCCTGCAAACCAACATCAATAAGATGTAGCAATATGTCAAGAGGAGTGACAACAGTGAGTCTGCACTGCTTTGACTCAGCGAACTTTGCTCTGGCTCATATCAGTCCTTTGGCGAGAGGGAGCTGTATTGCGGTTGTAAATAAATGTAAGGGACAGAGACTGGTGAAAAAACTGTCATTTACAGGAAAGTATTACAACGATGAGACTTCATGTGGAAGCTGCAACAATGTGTGGAAACTAAGTTTGGCATCTTTCTTTGTCTGTAGTTAATAAGGACAAAGTTAATACATTTGCAAACATGCAGTGAGATTACAGAGAGGCAGAGCGATCTCAGTGTATCACCTGATGAATATGAGTGGCTGCCAGCATGGAGGTGAAGGGGACCACCTTTGCAGACTTCTAATGCTGGAGATTTTCTATCCCCTCTAGTGCATGGCCCTTTTCTCACCTTAAAGCTGGTGCCACCTCATTTTCCCCTTTGTGCACTCACCTGTGCACCAAAGTGCTTTACAGAAGACAAAGTTATTATTTGGTGTTTTTTTTTAAATTATGTTGTTTAGAATTTTTACACTGCGATGTGAGTGCACCACTTTAATCTACAATAACTCTACAATAAACTGCCTTTTTGAGTTGATTCCCGTGTTGCGAGTGCTGCATCTCTTGCCTGCACACAGCGATTCATGACAGAATCTGCCAGTATGAATTTTTCATGTGTAATGGCGATACATGACTTTGATCTTCTCTGGGATAGCACAGCATTGCAGTGGTTTCTGTGCAGCGCTTGCATGTTTTCCTTGTATCTGCCTGGATATTCTCCAAAGTAGATGTATTTGCATTTATATAGTCACATTTAGTCACATTTTAACCACACATTCATGCCGCGTGTTATTCTGTACACTTCCAGCACTTTATCTACATCACATTCATGGCCACCTTAGAATGAGCAACTAACCTAACCTGTGCGTGTCCTTGGACTGTGGGGGGAAGCCAAAATACCCACACAAGCATGGGGAGAACATGCAAACTCCACACAGAAAGCCCAGGAACCAGAAATGTGTGGTTAAATGCAGCTTGTGATGTAGAGCACCTTGTTTGGTCAGTAAGACTAGAAAAGTACTTTGCAATTGTGCAGATATCACAAAATAAACCAGAACTGAACTGAATAGATCAGCAAACTGTGACCAGTATCGGACTCGAACATTAGATAGAACCCTCTGTTTGTAAATAGCAACCATTCATAAGAGATTTAGCTTCTGCAACAGCTTGTTTCATACAACAAAATAGATGAACTGAGAAGATAAATAAGGATTATTTTTGTAGGCCATGCAAAGCTACTCTAATACAAACAGAGCTGAAAAAATTAGTAGACTTTAAATTTACTGACAGTTGATCGTTTGATTAATCTTTTTAACTTTGATAACTAAAAACAAGTTTTTGTGAGTGGAATAACTGCAGCTCAGTATCGTTGTAGGTAAAATAAAATCAAATATTTTTTAAATGAATAATTTTCACATCATGTCTGTGAAGGTTCTCAGTCATCCGGGTCATCGTAGTCAAAGGAGCTTGCAAAGAAAAGCGTCTGGACTTCTTTAAGTTGCTTGAAGACGTTTCACCTCTCATCCCAGAAGCTTCTTCAGTTCTAAGGACTTTTGACTTTAGTTGCCTTTTACAGCGAGCGCTGCCTTTCTTCTTCAGGTATTCTGAAGTTTTTGTTCATATTTTGTAAACACAGCAACTTCTCATCCAAACGTTTTTTTTCCATTTTCAGAGAATTTAAGTCCTGATCAACGTGAAAACCCACATCAAACTGTTTCCAGATCAGTTTCACTTTTACTTTGAGGAACTTGATGATTTATTACATTTGTGTGGCGGCCATCTTGCCTCTGACACTTTGACTGCTGTCTGTCCCAAAGTGCCTCTCTCACTGCCGCTACTGCTTGGTAGTGTGGCTGGTGAATATTATTGGATGTCCATCTGACCTCATTATAAGTGTGTTGCTATGGGCAACCAGCATGGAGAACAAGGAGGGGAGAGAGAGAGAGAGAGAGAGAGAGTTGCATCATGGGATAGAAACCTGACCTCTGCCTGTTTTTTTGGTTTTTTCTTCTTCTTCTCTCTGTGGACGCAAATGTGCAGCATGACACTACGCAACAATGCACGCACACCGCGCTAACAAACACACACAGACACGTCATGGCACTCACACATCGCTCACACAGCACACACACACACACACACACACACACACACACACACACACACACACACATGGTTTGTTTAAACATAGATACATAAAAGAGGAGGAGGAAAAACATAATATCCGTTTACTGCTGAATGTAAAGAAAAAACCACAAGACTCGTGATGAACTTGCACACAGTGGACACTTCTGTTGAAGGAAACCAGCACTGTTTGTGGTTTGTCAGGTTCATTTACACCATGCAAAATATAGCTAAGAGAGGTGAGTTATGTGTACATTGTTACAACATGACTAAAGTTTCTAATAGTGAGGTCAGTGTATGCACAAGGCCAAAAACTTGGGCTTGAAGCTGATCTGAACACTCAATTTTATGTTTAGATGAAGTTATAAAGAGGGAAAGCTTGGATTTCCGAGGGGCAGCCAATCAGAAGACTTAAAACATAAAACATAAATCTAAACATTTTGAATCTGGATGTCAGGAGCGCAGGGTGGATCAGATTGTGAAATAGAGGGACGCCGCGTGTTTGTTTCTCCCACTGACCATTTCTTATTGTTTATATGTCACTGCTGCGTTGGTTCCCAATGGTGTGTCCAGTGCAAAGTCCAGGTGTGCCTTTGGCTTTTGTGTCAACCATACATCACTCTTTGAACATCTTAGAGAGTAACGAACAAGGTTGAAATTAGCACATTTCAAAGGGTCTTATTGATAATGAGGCGGTAAAACAGATCGTTCTCAAGCGCGGTGCGAACCACAGCTAATTAAATAGTCGCTGTTATAGTCGGTTCAAACGAGCTATTAAAAGTCCCTTCATCTGACAAAATAGAAATAAAAGAAGAACTGAAGAGGTTTCAGATGACAGTTATATTCTCGGTGTTGTAATGTGTGTATTTTTATATTATATGGCAATAAAGCTGCTTCTGTCTTTGAGTTTTATGTTTCAACGTGTGTGTGTGTGTGTGTGTGTGTGTGTGTGTGTGTGTGTGTGTGTGTGTGTGTGTGTGTGTGTGTGTGTGTGTTTACCGTTTTTAGTGTGTGTTAACATTTTGTGCTTTTATTTAATTTTTTTTGTCTCTTTATTGTACTTACTCCAGCGATACTGTGTAGTGTATCGGTGCTGTAGTGTTATTGAACCACATACCTTGTGCACGTTTATTCATCCATATCATGTTTGCATATAAAGTTTGGTGTATTTTTGTACATCTTTCCAAATATTGTGTTTCTATCATTTTATTTTGTGTGTTTACCTTCAGATTTTATTGTTAAAAAAAACATGTGTGTCTGTGTTATAGTGATTTCATGTTGGTGTGTCTAATTTTTGTCTGCACTCAGGTGTATTTTTGCATTATTTTTACATCTTTTTATTTGGTGTGTTTCGTTTTTTCTTTGATGGAGTACATGTTGGTGTATCCACAGTGCGTTTCATTTTGTGTTTCCATGTTTGTGTCTCCTGTTTTTTAATTCATCTTCCATGTTTCTTTGTGTCTACTTCTTTATCTTTACTCCATACTTCCTCGTTTTTGTGCTCACATGTTAAATCTTGCGTCTTTCT